ACTAATACATATGCGACAGACAGAAGTCTTCCATGCGTGCTCATTCAAGCTCCTTCCCACTTCCAGCTGACAGGGATGGAGGTAATACTCAGAGCAATCTTAGAAGCCATAGATTGAAGATGGCAGAAACATCATCACCCTAGGTGCCTAATGACTGCATGGAATAGACTCTCTACTCCTACATGCCCCCACTATACACACCAATCACATATACAATGCCACAGCCAACATAATCAACTAGGGAACATCTTAAACACTTCCATGATAAAAGCTAAAAGATTTTTGTTTTGGATAATTATATGTATGGGTCTATTTGTTAACTCAGCCTGTTGTTATTGTTTAGTCCCTAAGTCATGTCCAACTCTTTTGTGATGCCATGGACTGTATCCCGACAGGCTCCTTTGTTCATGGGATTTCCCAGCCATGAAGACTGGAGTGGGTTGCCATTTCCTTCTCCAAGGGATCTTCCTGAACCAGGGATTGAACCCGCATCTCCTACATTGCAGGTAAATTCTTTACCACTGAACCACCAGTGAAGCCTTGTCTACCTTATATAGCTTAGCTTAGTCCACCTTATATAATATAGTGGATAAACAGCTTCTTCTAAAACAGAGGCTGAACTGGAAAGAAGATTAATAAAAAGACTTCTAATCAATGAGGGGAAACATGCTGATAGCTTACACAAGGGTGGCAACAGTGAACTTGGCAAGACATGATCCCATTCAGAGTATAGTTCGAAGATAGAACCAAAAGGACTTACTGATGATCAGTTAGAAATTCTGAAAATTCTTATAATCCTTCTATACTCTTGTGAAACCAGATAATAGAATAGACTTTTCCTGATACACTCTTGACAGAGAACAAAATCCACAGAATTTCACTATGAGTGCAAGGCAAATCTCCTTCTTATGCAGAATTTTCAAAAGTGAAAGAAACTCCATTCTATGATTCTAGGGATTTATAGATAATTAAGCACAGAGAAAAGGATCAAAGATCAAAGTTGACAGGAAAGACATCTTTGAATAAAACTGTGAGATGATGCTTCTCAGGTCCCAGGCAGCTGGGGAACCTATTACATCTCAGGCCTATTTAGGGGCATTTCATGGGACCAGTCAAAGCACTGAAATATTTTCACTGAAATGATGCCTGCACATATCAGAGGAAATCAAAAATTGTGTGACCACAGGCTAGAAGTTGCTACACTGGAATCCCTGTGCACTCGCAGCATTTATTGGTAAGCACTTCTGCCTACAGCTGTGAGTCACACAGGGAGCAGAGGTAATATGGGCTTCTTGTCTTGGGCTTTTGTTGAGCCCGCTGCCTTGATGAGAGAGAAGCCTTCAGCAGACAGGCAGGAGGGATAAGGCACAATATGCTCAAGGAATATGGCTCAGGGATGGTCTTGGGACAATGCATGCCTAGAGATCTCTCCTTGGCACACACCGTTGTGTATCTCTTCTAGATTGTTGTTGTCATTTAGTCACCAAATGAGTGTCATTTAGTCATTAAAGTCGTATCCAACTCTTTTGCGATCCCATCAACTGTGGGGCTTCCCATATGGCTCACTGGGTAAAAGAATCCACCTGCAATGCAGGAGATGCAGGCAGATGTGGGTTCAAACACTGGGGTGGGAAGATGCCCTGGAGGAGGGCATGGCAACCCACTCCAGTATTCTTGCCTGGAGAATCCCACGGACAGAGAAGCCTGGTGGGCTACAGTCTACAGGATTACAAAGAGTTGGACATGACTGAAGTGACTGAGCCTGCATGTATTGTAGCCCACCAGGTCCTTCTGTCCAGGATTTCCTAGGCAAGAATACTGGTATGGTTTACCATTTCCTTCAGCAAGGGATCTTCCTGACCCAGGGATTGAACCTACATCTCCTGCATTGGCAGGTGGGTTCTTTACCACGGAGCCACCATGGAAGAGTCCATTAATGTGCCACAGAAGAAAGACAAAATTATATCTAGAAACCTTCCTACCCTACCCCAAGCCAGGAACGTCAGAGTCTGGCTATCAGGTCAGGGACAGGGTGGTGGAGAGGAGGGCAGAGAATAAGTAGACAAACAAGACGAAGCCAACCATACTAGCCCCTCCCATTCCCTTGCCCACTGAAGGTCTCCAGCCCAAAGTTGCCCCAAGCTGGGCAGGGGAGAAAACTTTCCATTACGTCATGTTAGGGTTTGTATTACTATTTTGCAGCATGCATACAAAACTCTGAACTAAATGTATGACTGTGATTTGAATGCACTGCAGGACTCTATTTCTAAAAATGAACTAAAGGACCATGGGGTCTGCCTGACTTTTTTTATGAAGCAGGGCAAGATTAAGCCACTGAATAAAATTTTTAAAAACTGCAGGACACTAAAAATATAGTATGTCTTGATCATGTTATGAACCATGATTGCTCAACACACTGGCTCATTCAATTCATAACAGAAGAGAAATATGGGCATTTCCAAATACAGTGACTCACAACAGAGAACTTTGGATGGGAAAGTGGAAATTGAGCTCAGGTCACCAACATATGCCTAGGACAACAGCATAATTTTCTTATCAAGTGTATGAAGGAACTTCTCTTCTGACTTGGGAGAAATGTAGCTTAATCACTGTAATCTCTTAGAGGATCATAAGAAAGAATCGCTGCTCTGTTTCTGAATGCCCAACAAAACATTAAAACCTATGAGATTCTCTTCAGTTTTGGAGCTCACTATCTACATAGATGGTTAAGTACATTATTTAAAATGTTTTCTATTTTTTAAAAAGCAAATGACACATTCAGAAACGTTTCTAGAATTTATTTTTTCCTGTCTGCTCCCTACAATCTTATTTTGTCCATGGATATTCTCAAACGATAGTGGAAACTTTGTGCATAGAATATCCTCATGCTTGCTTAGAAAACCTGGTCTGTGGCTCTTGATTTAATTATGGAAAGGAATGGGGGAAAATGAACCCAGAGTTCTATTTTTGCTGTATCTATGACACAGTTAATCTAAGATATGGCAGAGTTCTACAAATTCAAAAGACTTGAAAATAATTTATTTGCTATAATAAGAAGAAAACCATTTTTTCTTTAACTGAATTTCTTGGCCTTTGTGGCAGAAATCAAATGCCTCATATTACTGTAGCAGTTTTTCTCCTCACAATTTAATCTAGGACTTGTTAACCAAGGCTATTTCTATATTCAGCAAGATTACATACAAACCTGATTTTATGAATTATGTGAATGCTACTGCTGAGAAATTCTACTGGGAATATGACTATGGAAATGGACACTTCAGGTAAATTAAAGGCATAGAAGAGAAATTATAAATTGAAGAAATGCATTGTTCAGGGTTTATTTATTTTAGGTCATTCATGTCAAAGCTGAAAACTATCTTTAGGAAGAAATCAGATGAAAACTGCTAGATGAGCTGGGAAGAAGCAAATCATTCTAGGAGTATATATTTGCTGTGAATTGATTGAGTTCTTTATGGAGGGTCCCTGAGCAATACCACTATGCTGGACACTGCCAGTTATGCAGGAATTCAATACAGTTGCAGATGACTCTATGATTAAACTAGATTTAGAAATCTAAATGACCATAGTCACCAAAGATTGATATGAAAACTGACTTAGAAGTTGGGTTAGTTCTGAGTCTGAAGTTTTAGGAACAATTTAATCAACTGAATTTCCTTGTTATATATGCTAATGGCTGATATATGGTTTAAAAGAAAACCTAAGTATGAACAACACTTCTTTCAGTAACATTCGGTTTCATAAGACAACATTGCAGTAGCTGAATAGGCATGAAGTATTATTTTATAATGATCCTAAATAATGGTCTATCTGACGATTACTAAGTACAGTTGCTAAATACATATTGTATGAGTACAATTTTGAGGCAGATAGTGCAGTATGTACAGTGTCTTGGTTTACATTGTAACATCTTCCGATATTTTGAATAGAGTATATTTTTGACCAAATAGTATATTTCTGATAGTTTAGATGGTAACAGATAACTACGGTCACTAAAATCACTAGTCTATGTTCACAAAATCACAAGTGTTTATCTCAATATATCCAATTATATTTTGTTATCATTATAATCTTCCATCATGAGAAATTTTCATTTGTCTACTGGAAGAGCCCCATATGGATATCTATTTTAACTTTAGAGGCACGGATATCCATCCTCAGTCTCAAAGCCAGAGCCAAGCCAGTGAAGTGAGACAAGAAGAAACATGCTCTCCTTGCACATGACTTTACCTTCTCTGAAATGGAAAGTTAGCAACTCCTCCACATGCAACGCCAGTACGCTAGCTATAGAAATCACTGCTATTGACTTAGTGGTAGGTAGGTAAGCAGTAGGTAACCACCTATTTTTTACATCAATTCCTCAAATAAACTTTTGCCTTTTCCTAACTCTAACTTTTCCATGATGTTAGCTAATCTCAGTCTGTTAAAACTCTACCCAGCCTACAAGATCTGATACAAATTATTAGATATTCCCTAATAATATCTGCCAGAAACTACTATAATTTTTTATTTTTATGTCCATAGCTTTGCCTATGCTTGCCAAAGACTGTATCATATGGCTCTAAACTGATACATTTAATTTTAACTCTCTGACAGTAGAATCCTTGAGTACAAGGAAATGTTTATAGATGTCAATGTAATCCCACAGCTTAAGGTTCTTCATACAATAAAGATTTGATAAATGTTTATTAAACATTAAATTGATACATTTGTTTAATCTTAAAATTATACCCAATCTGTATAACAATGCCTAATGTTCTATGCCAACTTTGGGTTTTAAGCTTTTTTTTTTTTAGATAAAACTATTCCACTAAGAATGTGTTATACAAACTATTCAATGCGAATATAAAGCAGGGTTATTAAGACTCAGAAATCTTAGGTTACTTTCATAATTAAAGAACATTATTTACAAACATTATTTGCTTTATCATAGCCTAGCTAAGCTAGAAATTCATGCCGTACCATTCTCTAGGCAAACTTACCTCTCACAATGATGTTGGTGGACTTTTTTGCAGGGTTTCCCACGTTGTTATTGGCAATACAGCTGTAAGTGCCAGCGTCTTCCGAGGTGATGGCAGGTATGGTCAAAGTTCCTCCATTCAAAACCGTCTTTTCAGGCAGAGTCCCAAAGGATCTGACCCATGTGAGAGAGGGTACAGGCTCTCCTCCTGTCGTGACACACACTAATGTTATGGCCTCTCCAGGGTTTACAACAATAGGGTCATCCACCAAGAGTTTAATTGACGGAGACGCTAAAAGACAAACAAAAGAACATGCACCTATTTAGATCTACTACCGCTAGACTTCAACAATACGCTTTATATTTACACAAACAATTAAAATGAAATACTGTTCTTTTGTGCCAAAATCTTATTGTATTGATCAAATTTAAACCATATAGAATGGTTATTTATTTTAATTATGTGGCATAAGCCTGTGGAATTTTACTAAGAATCTCACACATGGAGAGGGGAATTAAATTTTATGTATTCTTGAATTATTGTTCCACAAGTAGAATGATGAGAAGAATTAAAGTTTTAAAACAAAAATGTCTTTATCTTTTAATGTTGACAATGTTGACAATCACCATTTGTTTTTGTCCTTCCAGGTATAAATATTGAAGCTGCTTAGTTCTTGTATTTTCATGGTCAAGATCATCATTTATTTAATTTTTGGATCATCCTCAGGTCAAATGATACATATTTTGCAAACTGAACACAATCAAGTAAGGGAAAAGATAGCAAGAGGTTTTTACCAGGCAGTGGGTCTGGTTTTTCATCTTGAAAGGAATAACAAACTCATGTAATTTAAAGCATCTCCAATATTTCACCTCTAACCTCTGTTCAGAAAGTTTAGGCAATGTGAGTTCTCATAACCACTGTTTTAAAACTTAGATGCAAATAAACCGCTTTTCAAAAATAGTCACCAAACTATGATGGCTACCACTCCAACGTTTGGGTTATACTGATCTCCCCAGTGAAAGTAAGTTGTTTAAAAACTTTCAGGTAAAAAAATGTAGATAAATATCCATTCAATAAAAAATGCTTCATTGCAGACTTTTCATCAAACAAAGTAGAAACTGCACAAAAATCTGTTCAGACACAGTACTTTCTTTTCTGCTTATATCACAGTGTCAGTCTACGTAGCACATTCCTAAATAAGAACAGAGGAAGTGCATTATGCTAATATTTGAGTTCATACATTCAGAAATATTTGAGGCCAAATTTAAAACTGAAATCTATCCATATTGGGAATACAAAGTGTTCAGCTGTACTGTGTAACTGTTTTTAGATGTTAATTTCAGCTCAGAGTTGGAGAGAGCTTTTCTCAGAATGAAAGGTAAACTTGTTATGTGGTTCAGTATTCTGCCTTGATGGAATATATAAACGTTCAAGTGAATATATATATATGTATATATATATATTCCACTGTATATATATCTTGCCTTTTGGGACATAGGTGTGCCTTGAGAGCATTATACTAAGTGAGATAAGTCAGAAACAGATCCCATATGATCTCACTCATACGTGGAGTATAAAAAAATAAACAAAAAGCAAAAGTAATGTACAAGCCAAACCAAAAAAAAAAAAAATGTAGATATAGAGAACAGAGTGGTGAATACCTTGGGGCAGGGAGTAGGGGAAGGGTGAAGGGTGAAAGGGAAAGGAGTAGGGGGTGAAATAAGTAAATGGTATCAACTGTATGATGATAGACGGAAACAAAATTTTGGGTGATGAGCTTGCTGTAGGGTGTACAGAAGTAGAAATACAGTATTGTACATATGAAACTTATAGATTATTATAGTTTAGTGCTGCCTCAATAAAAAACAAATTTGAAAAGATGCCAGGGGAGAATAAGAAAACAATTCCATGTTACAATTATGGTTCTGTGTAATGGGCATAGAATGCCTGGGTGACCTTTTTAAACATTGTTGGCCTTTCTAACATCATTGTAAGTAATATACAAGTTTTCAAAGTATTTTAGTTGCCCTTCTGAGGTGCTGACTTTAAATTATAAAAATCTATGATTAAAAAACCTGTTGGGAAAGTCACAAAATGAAAATAAGAGACAAAAGGCACTGCAGAGTTTGGTAGAAAAGAAAGTTTTTAAAAACGCTATTTAATATTGCTAAACTGATAAAAAAGATACTACTAATGAAATTTTTAAAAAATAGATAGTATACTTAATTATTGACACAACATTATTAAACAGCAATAGAAATTCTTACAGCCTAGTTTGAGGTAAACAGTATAATTTTACAAAAGTATTTAGTTAAAACACAAGTCTACAGAGTCCAATAGTTATATTAATAAGACTCATTTGTTTTTACACCATGTTTTAGTAAATTAAAAATCCCAAGGCCTAAGGACCATTAATAGTATATATTTAGATTATGGAAACACACAATGGTGATATCAAGTCAAGAAATATTTGCCCCTGAAATTGACTTGTATAAGGATGAGTTATTTTAAATATACCTGCACATTTTGAGGACACATAATAAAACATTTATTATTTTTTCTTTACATTTTTAATTTGGAAGTTGAAACTATAGTTTTTTCAAGAGTCAACATTTTTTTAGAGCCTTTAAAATCTCAGGCAAAAGTAAATTGCAAGTGAATGGTATTATTTTAAACAGTGATTTTAAACTTCTCAACTACATTGATTCCATGCACCGTTTCCAATTTTGTACTTACATAGGTAATTAGGAAACTAAGAAAGATTGATCTCATTGCATTAAATCATTTACATGGCTAAGTGTTCTTTAAATGTCTATTGCATGCTTGCTTGAACTACTCCATCAATACAAAAGAACAAATGTACAAAGCTATTGAGATCATCAGCTTCCTTATAACCATGAGACAAGAGTATTGGTCAAAACCATATTGCAGGATCTAGACATCCAGTCATTCTTCACAGCAACATGTGAGAGACAGATTACTATTTGAAGTTCATTTTTAAGTTAATAAATGAAACACAGAAATTAAAAAGGGACAAGAGAAAAACAGAGTGGACAGTATGTTAGTTTTTATTTGGAATGTTCATCAAACCAATGCAAAAAGTAGAAAAAGGTCAACTACATAAAGTAAACAAAGGCAGTTTATCAAGTTAAGTGAAGAAGCATTGAATGGATGATGGATGAAACTAGGGGAAGGAGTGGGCGGGAGGTCCAAAAGGGAGGGAATATATGTTTACATATTGCTGATTCACCTCATTATACAGCAGAAACTAACACACATTGTAAAGCAACTGTACCCCATTAAAAAATAAAATAAATATCACATATTATTTTAAACATGTTTATAATTATCACCAAATGGCTCAAATTACATAAAAATTATTCCAATGAAGTCCGTTTTTCACATGACACACACTACCAGCCATAAACATTCTCTAGGTACATAGTGCTCATAAATAAGTGCCTATCTGACTTTCAGAATGAGAACCTTGCCAGCACTCAATGGTGGAAGGCATGGGTCAGCATAGCAATTGTCTCAGAGACTTGACTCTTTCCTTAAGATCAGTATGTTAACATTCTAGCATGTTTGATATGCTCTGTGGTGCAAATACAGTAGATAGATAGATCTATAAATTATTGGTCCTGGGAGGGATGCGATGAAGTATAATGACAGACAAAAAAGAGAAAGAAAGGAAAAAGAAAGGAAGTGAAAAGAAAGAGAGGAGAGACCAAAAAGTCTGTGGTTTTTCTTTTCCAAAATCCTAAACCCTTTCATAACTATAACATGGAAAGTATAGTTTAGGGAATCTCTCTGAGGAAGAGAACTCTTCCCAAGTTCTCTTCAGCTTCTCTCCTCCTGGCAAACAAAAAGAAAATCTTTGGGGGCTGAACAACAGTTACTTCAGTGGATCTGTGACAGAAAGACGACTGGCTTCTTGACACCCACACCAAATCCCAAACATTTGGATATTCAAGAGCAAAGGGGATCTCTGTGTCCCTTCTTGGTTGAGGTCCCTAAGTGTGACTGGCTAGACAGACACAGTGAGTCCATGGGGCAGGCTCCCTGCCTCAGGGGAACAGCCCCGGCCCCAGATGATGGAGTGGAAGAAGCGGAGAGACAGGTCAGAACGGAATGTGACAGTCAATTGGAATGAGGAGGGAATCCATGCCCATCAGAGACCCAAGTGTCATGTCCCACACCATGGGGAAATAAAAGAAACCCCTAGAATTTAAACAAAATCTGCTGGAAATGGGAACTCCATGTTACCAATTTCTGAAATTATGGCAGAATAGATAGTTGAAATAAAAATGAAGTTAAATTATAAAATAATAAAGATATATTTCTTTCAAACCTGAGTTTGTAGGCTGGGATTCATACCCATTAATTTTAGTGAGCCAGTTCCTCATGAGGTCCTCTGGATGGGCAATACAAAGGTTTAGCTTGGGGTTAATTAAGAATACATTCTGTAGGAAGAAAATACTATTTTAGCCAAGGTCAATGACTTCTTTTGGTGCTTTGTTTGGCTATTACATAACATAATAGCTTGCTGAAGATAAACATTTCTTTAAAAAGTGAAAGCAATGCAGTGATAATCATCTTATATTTTTAGAGATTTAGCCCTCCATGGATCTGGGCAATTTTTAAAAAAGGAACTTAGATTTCTACCCCTGATTCTGATTAAATGGATGTGAAGTAGTTAACTACAGTAAACTATTTGGCTTGAGTTAGAAACACCCTAAGACACATAATTCCTTGATTGAAAGGAAATTGACTATTGAGTCACAGAGAAAATCACAAGGAAGGAAGAATATAAAAACCAAAGGAAAACAAAACAAAACAAAACACCACCACCACCACCAAAACTCACAGGAATGAACTCCAATAAAAAATTCACAGCTAGGATGGTATTTATTTTAGCTTGAATCCTCCTCAAAGCCAGTCCTGATATAAGGAGATCATTAGGGTGAAGATCCCAGGAAACATATTGAAGGAGTGGAGAAGAGATCAAGAAAGGGAAAACATCCAGCAACGGGACAGGAATGAGTGGTGCTCACTGAGGGAAACCTGACTCCCTGCTGTTGGGAACCCTTTGGGAAATCAGAAAGAACACATCCTAGAACTTTGCCTCTGAAAAGTGAGGAGGCTGACTGGGGCGCTTATCTTCCAACCCCTGTCCCACATTAGTTAAGGACTACTCTATGGGTTTTAACTTCCCAACCTTCTCCATTGTCTGAACACAATGATCAGTCCAGAGAGAGTCTTCAGACAGAAGGACATGGGAAAAGAAATCG